AGCAGCTCCAGAAGCAGCTGCTCTTCGCCGAGTTCCAGAAGCAGCACGAGCACCTCACGCGCCAGCACCAGGTCCAGCTCCAGAAACACCTCAAGGTGTGATGGGGGGGAGCCTTGGGGGGTGGATTGGGGGAATGGAGCTGTTGGGGGAGATACTGGGGGTTGTGGAGCCATGGGGAGGTATATGGAGGGTGATGGAGCTATTGGAGGGGGGATACTGGGACTGATGGAGCAATGGGGGGGTGATGGAGCTCTTGGGAGGGAGGTTGGGGGAATGGAGATTTGGGGGATCACTAATCTTGGATAATGCAGCTGTTGGGGGGATACTGGGAGTGATGCAGCTGTTGGAGGGAGGTTGGGGGAATGGAGATGTGGGGGATCACTGATCGAGGGTGATGGAGCTCTTAGGAGGTGATTGAGGATGATGGAGCCATGGGGTGGATGCTGGGGGTGATGGAGATACAGGGTGTCGCCTGTCTGAGGTGCTGGAGCTGTGGGAAGGGGGATAGTGGGGGTGATGGAGCGGTTGGAGGGTGATGGAGTGGTTGGGAGGGAGATTGGTGTGATGGAAATACGGGGTATCACTGATTTGGGGTGGTGGAGGTGTTGGAGATGATAGTGGGGGTGATGGAACCAGGGGGGTGATACTGGGGGTGATGGAGATAAGGAGCAATGGAGCTGTTGGAGGGATATTGGGAGTGATGGAGGTAAGAGGTATCACCTATCTGAGATGATGGAGCTATTGGAGGGATATTGGGAGTGGTGGAGTTGGAGGTGAGACTGGGGGCGATGAAGCCACAGGGGAGGATACTGGGGTGATGGAGCTACTGGGGATGATGGAACTGCAGGGGATCACCTCTGTGGGGTGATGGAACTGTTGGGGGAGATCGGGAGGGGGAATGGAGCTGTGGGATACCATTTATCTGGGGTGATGGAACTGCTGGGAGGGTTGCTGGGGGTGATGGAGCTATTGGGGGTGAGGGAACTGTGGGGTATCACCTCTATGGGGTGATGGAGCTGTTGAGAGGGAGGTTGGGGGAATGAAGCTGTGGGGTGTCTGTAATCTGGGG